GAATTTCAAAAGGCAGCTTTACTTGGAACAGCTTACATCCTGCAATGATACCTTTAACACCATCTGCCTATCCCTGGTCCTTACTGTGTGACCAATAACAATAATAATATGTTTGGAGACTGAAGTCCTCTGATGTGCTGCTTGAATAAACAAAACAAACCTCATCTTAGGAAGGAAGAGAAAACTTGTAAGTTGCGAATGGGATGGAACAGGAGTTCCCTCTTAGATATTTTTCTCCAACAGCCCCCACCCTGTTGGCATTCCATAAAGCCTTAGAGACCTGGTTGTTCTCCCAGCCCTTGGGATGAGATGGATAGGCCCCTGGTTTGGTGTAGTTTTGTTATTTTTGTTTCTGCCTTTATACAGTGCCCACATCCCATTGGTTGTTGTTTGCATTGATTATTTATGGTAATATATGGTGAGCTGCCCATAGTCAGTTAGAGTTGGGTGATGTCCAAATTGAATAGCAATCCAATAACAGTCCAAATAAATAAAAACAATCAACTCAAAATTGCATTTTATTGCAGAATAAAATCTGAAGGCAGAAACGTCTCAGCTTACTTTTATGTAAGTTATGCTACTGAAAGACATAAAGTGTTTTTCTATTGATGAAATTGACTTACCATATCTTCAGTGGTGCCTTTCACTTTGTATGTGGTCCATAATTTACCATCATTGCTATATGCAATTTTGTATGATTTTATGTATTCTGGGCTTCCAATTCGCTTGGCACCTTGTGTGATAACTCCAGTGATTCTCATTTTTCGTTGTAGGTTTATCTGAAATTATAATCAGGCATCATCAATGGAATAATCAACATTATGATATTTCATTTAGCTGTTGCTGTTGCTTGTATACATTAAATGTATGGTTTGTCTAACACTGAATTTTCCTATGTCCAAGGCTTCATTTAGACTTGAGCTCAGTGATACCACTTATGACACTTAATTCATTTAATAGAATGTCACATGCTAAAGAAAAATAATTTCCTCTAGCATGTTTTCCATGCCCCTGTATATTCCTATGGGCACAAGAATAATACAGAACAAAGTCAAGTTCACAACTTGGAGAATATACATCACATAGCTAGAGGCCTGATCTTTGTAATAACTTCCACTGCTAAAACTGTATTAAACAGATTCCATATTATGCTTACTGGTATATATACTTCAAATTCAGAAATGCAGGTCATTCATAAAATATATATGTTTACTTTTTTCTGTGTAACATACAGTGACTATATAGATATTATTTATTTGCCTAATCATTTATTTATTTTAAAAGTATAAAAAGTTTGCTTTCATCTACAGGGATTCCAGGAGAATGAATTTTAGTACTCCAGGTGTTAGTATAAGAGGAAAATGGCAATGAAAAGTAAAATAATAAATTAAAAGAGGACAAGTAACAAACAATAATAGTTTATATATTAATAAAAGTGACTAATTATTGGAGCAATTCTTATATGAAGGTTTACATCTAGGAGTATGCAAAATGTTTGTAATTTGAAACAGTTCATTTTAAATTTGAAGAAGTAGTAGTTTCAAACTTGAAGTGTTCTGAGCTTAAAGCAAGTCTGTTCTGAGGGATTTTCAGTTCAAAACAGCCCTGTTTCAAGTTCAAAACTCTTCCAGAATGGTCAGAACAGTATTGGAACACTTCCAATAAAGTCAGAACCCATTCCAAACTCAAAAAAACTGTTCTGAATTAATGAAAACTAAAAATGTTTCCTTACTCTTAGTTACAAGATTTGGTATTTCCTTGTTTGGAAATGTGAATAAAAGAGTACATAATAGAACAGTTTATAATTATGCATGGTCCAAAATGTACATTTAGTTTGAGCCACTCTGATGAATAAAACTATGATGTGATGAAATATCTGCAGTTACATTCCAGAACCATGAAGTCAGAAGCTGATAGCAGGATCTAGGTAAAATACCTGCTATGTTCCATAATATACTAACCACAGCCTAAGAATCAATTAAGGCCTTTTAAAAAATTATAATTAACTATGAATTATTTTGCTATGAATAGATGCAAGTAGTTAAATGTTTCTGAGTAATAAATACATGTTTTAGTCCAGCAAGCTTGTGTATTAATCTATGCACATCTCTGATTAACAGATCAACTGCTTTGTGAAGTGTTCACGTATGAAAACTTCATTTGACTAGCAGTGTTTATATTTTTTTTCATAACTCACTGTCTTTTCAGTTCCTCACTAATAAGAGAATTTTGAAAGCAATGACAAATTTCTATACTGAAAAATCTTAATTGTAGCGGGTAAAAAACCTTAATATATATTTAGATTCTTTCCAGTTTTTTTTGTAAACATATCCAGTACAAATATGGTTGATCATGAACAGAAATTCAGCAGAGCAGCATTTCTGCTTGGTATTATATTTTGGAACAACTATTCAGTAGAAGTAAAAGAATGACTAGCTTTGTAGAATAAAAAGAAGACAAATATGCATACATATTAGTTATTTTTTTAAAAAAAAACTGTTATAAATGGTGTTATATTTCTCTGCAAGTGAAAAGAACATTCATAATGCACATTTTATATTGGCCAATATTTATAGGAAGTTTGATTTATGATTCCCAAGAAAAGAATATATTAGATTGTTAGTTAAATAAAGCATACTTAAATATAAATTGACAATTTATTTCCTGCCAGGATTAAATTAGCTAACATTTACACCTGCCTTAATGAAAAAGACAATTCTGATCATATATTTTTAATGCAGATTTCAAAAGGACTTCAAACAGGGTTTATATTTCAAATTATTGTTTTAACATAATTGTTTTAATCTTCTTTGCCTGCAAGTGATTTACATAAAGTTAATAGAAACATGTAGGCAACTGACATACTCTAATCAATAAGCAATGCTTTCTGAATAGCATTCGTACTAATTCATTGCAAAAAATAATACGTTAGTGCTCAAATCATATGGGGGAGGGAGTTGGAAGGGTTGGTGAATGAATCCACAAATTCATTTCTCAACTGCTCACAATTTTAGTCAAAAATGTTCTCCGTAGAAAATGAGTCATCTAAACAGGGGAAGTGGAGGAGCCTGTTTTAACAATTTTTGAAGAGAACAGGAGAAAAGAAAGAGGAAAAAATTGGCAAAACAAGAGGAAAAAAAAGTTTCCACTTTGGTCTTTTCACATTTATTTTAATAAAGTGTAACATAAAGAATAGTTTTGCATCTATCTGAATACATTAAAGCATTTATTCTTACATTATAGCTGTTTTTAAAGAAATAATGATTTGGCTAAGACTTTATGTAGCTTACATATGCTTATGGAGTAAAGGCTAGACATTAAATAAGCAGATTTCAGTTCATTCAGTGGAAGTTTTCCTTCCTCTTTCTTCCTTGGTAGTCTTTATGGTAAAATAGATAAGACTCTAGACTAGAATTTGGTTTTCCTGACAAATGTTCATATATAT